TAAAAAAAAAAAAAAACAGAACAAACTATCAGGAAACAAACCCCTTCAACTTCAAAGATCAGATAATGTCATAAGAGAGAGAAGCATCCATATTTCAGAATTTTATGATCAATTGGCAGATAAAATTTGACATTCCTTCTTAGGAAATAAGATAAGATTCAAGAACACATAACAGGAATCTGAAGACTTCACATACCTCAACACAATTAGACTGACTATCTTCTAAGGATAACGTGCTACCAAGAATCTTTTCCAATATTGAAGACGAGGAAATTCTTTTTGAAACCGAAGCATTTTTGTCCCCCAGTATCCCAGCATCCAGTTCAGCAATAAAAGGGTCACCTAGAGTTGCATGAGAATCTTGATAGAAAGTTTGAAACAATTGATCTTCCTTCCCCGATTTCTTAGTAGGCACGTCTAAACTAACATGTAGGTTTGCATTTTCCCCTTTGTTCAAGGGAAGTGCAGGATGCAGCTTCTCTGCAGGCAGTCCACCATCAATTCTAAGCTGTTGAGATAAGCATTTTCCAGTGCTGCTATTAGTACTTGGAATAATATGTGCATTGGACTCTTCAAGGCTTTCCACAGTTGCTGCTTTCCCCACCTGTAAAAGCAACATGGTATCTAAGCCTTTCGAACAAAGAGTAAGTTTCTTCACCAAGGGATTTGATGATGACCAAATATCCAAACAATGTAGGAAATCAATAGGGGAGTGTTTGGTTTACCAGCAGTAGACCAGATACAAAATAAAACACTATTTTATATGCCACAGTTCATATCATAAGCCGGCAAAAGTACTGCAACATAGTAGAAGGTAAAGATTCACTTAAAGGCCACAAATTACGAAGTTATAAAAGCCAACTAGCTAAAATTATACAATCTGGGTGGCTAGGTTGAAAGCTGCTCAGTGTCAGGGACATAACCCATGTTGGATAAAAAGAATAATGCACCCTTTAATGTAGTGCCTCAATCTTCTTGTGGCATTCTTCCTTTCTCATTTTTCTTTTGCCATGGATTTCACTGAATGTTGAGTGGGGGGATCAGGCAGGCAGCTGGTAGAAGCTTGCTTAAAAGAGTCATTTGTTCCTCTCAGAAACAACTAATTTAGAAAGCATATAGACTCATGATTCCACATTATTGGTCAGAAAGAACCTTATATAAAGAAGAGTAGAATTTGTCATAAAGCCTTTATTATCAAGTAACATTCACGTAAATAGAATGGAAATGTTATACTGCATTAGTCATAGTTTTTATGACAACATCTCAGATATATAGTGCAATTCATGCCCCTCCAACAAAGTAACTCCCCCAAAAGAATTTTACAAATTAAGTGCAAGCATCAAACCTGTGACAAAGGAGGATGCACCAGAGATTTTGGCCCAGAACTATTCTCGATGGCATTGCTTTTGAAACCAGGGGGAACTAGTGGCCTAGATGCAGGAGAGTGCGAGGCAAAAGAAGATTTATCTAAGTCATTGCTCAAAACGGGAATTCCCTCCGAAACCTCCAACTCATTATTCCTTTCAAGAAGTCCCTTTTCCTCTTTGCTGTCTGCCAAGTCTTTGCAGGTATCCATGATAACACTACCTTTGTGCTTCTCCAGATTCAATTTTTGCTTCTCCTGCAGGGTCTTCTGTTGTTCCTTTCTCATCGTCTCAAAAGAGGCTAAACAGAAGTTATTTTTAATAGAGACGCTTAAATATAAAACAATTGATATTGCAATCACACAATGACCCTGACTAGATTCAATAATACCTCTTCTTCTCTTTTCCGCCTCTGCTCTATCCTCACTAGTGCACTCTATGGAACCAAAAGTTTCATCATTGAGGGAGTCGGTGTCTCTTCTTGAATGAGGTACTGCCTGTAAATTTAAGAGTCGTGAGAATAGCATCGGCTGAAATGTCTGATTTCAATTTAGGCATGAGGTATTAACACTTGAAAAAATAATGAAACTAAATAAAATGAGTGAGGCACTTGAACTGAGCTAGTACTTCTTATCCGACCTTGTAAGGGCGTGGAGGATGATATGGCTCATTGCTCCTGTTAAGCTGACTATGCTCATTTGCCCGAAATTTTGGAGCAGGAACCCCAGCTGCATATCCGGACGGTCTTGGAAATGAACCACTTCCGAGTAGTCCATCATGTTCGGAACTCTGCCAAGTCCGTCGAGTTTGATTGCCAAAGCGCCTCCCAGAATCTATAGGAAAATGAGTAAGTCATCTAACTAGAGAGCACGGCATCAGCAGCAGAGACCAAAAAAA